TGACTTCACACCTCTTGATTGGCCTCTCTTTCTGTCCCCTGCTCCCGCCTCTCACTCCTCCTCCCTCCCAACCTTTGTTCTCCCGCTACTTTACCTTTGCCTACTGCCCTGTCTCTCTCACACCTGAAGAAGGCTCCACGGCCGAAATTTTAAGATAGCTTGATATAATATGGAGAAGATTTACATTGTTTGCTCCATTCATGATAAATCCATTTATTAAGCAAAATCACACTGTATTAATTTCCCACTTCTTGATACACAGCAGAAAATTCTTCATCATGCTTGCCAATTACAATGAATTGTTTAGCAGTATTAGTTGCCTAACCTGAAATGATCTTGTATACATATGAATTCATCTATCATTCATCTATCACACCTTTCCAGGTTATAGTAATAGTTAAGAGCAGCAGGTGCCATGAATTACCCATATGAATATTAATTAATTCTTCATCCAAACAACACTACAAGAGAAAGAACGGTCATATGATTTCTAATTCTGTCTTTTCCATGTATAATGCATGTAAGAATGTATTTGTGCAAAAATTTGAAATGGGAGGCTGCAAGATAAGGTAAGATCACTTTATTAACCATATACAGTACAATTTCTTGAATTAGGAATGTGTCTTTTCACATACTTCAGCTTGCTCTCCATGAGACACAGACACATAGATAGGGAGAGACGCTTGGGGTCAGAGTACAGGGTCAGCCATTGGACAGTGCCCCTGGAGCAGTTGGGGTTAAGGGCTTAGGGGCCCAAAGGAATAGGGTTCCTCTACCGACCGCGGGATTTGAACCAGCAACTTTCCAGCCACAGGCGCAGATCCTTAGCCACAGAGCCACCGCTTCGCCCTTTTTTTATATTTATATAGTTAGATTGTTCTGTCTATTTTAGCATTGTGATTGGATGATTGGATGATGAGCTAATAGAGGATTCATACTCATAACTCAGTGCAACTGCTGCTCTTTACATAAACCCACTAACATGGAAGACTCGTCTTCTAAAAATACGTTAGATACGTACTGTTTCACCAAGAGCCTATTTTGAGTAAGCCCCTTTGAGTAAATATGCAGTTTTTTAAACCTGCATGAATCCCTACATCTTTAATTTGATGCCTTTTAAGAATGAAATAAATTACACTTGAAATATGTTCTGCCCCTGGTAGAAAAACTCCCATACACATTTTGTTGTAAATCAATATTTAATAAACGAGAAAATGAGAGGCCCAGTGAAAAGACTGAAGGGGACTGTTCTGTCAAAGCACAAATTCTGCACCAAAGATCCTAGAGGATTTTTTTCCCTAGCAGATTATAAACATAAATCAAAATGACATTAATATTATGTGTCTCTTATTAAATCTGAAACAAACCAAATTGATAGAAAGGCCATAGGCACCAGTCCTATATTTATTGTAGTTTTTATGAAACATTTGTAATCACTTTGATAGCTTTGATCCCAAAGCTAACAACAAAAGAAAAACACCAAAATTCCACCATCCCTATTATTCACCTACAAATTACACAAACGTTAGCCTACACATTTTGAACTTCTACTTATTTTATACATTTTTTTTCTGCTGATCAAATACTTTTTTCACCTCTTGAAAATGAAAATCACATTTTCTAGTTGACGGAACCCACCACCACTTCCCTGCTTCTATGCTTTTTTTCTACGTGTAACCTGCTTTATTTTAAAACATCTTCCATACAATTTGTGTTTGTACTGTAAGAGGAATTTACGTATTAACCAAATGCTTTATAAAACATAAATAGTATAATTTGAAAATCTGAGTCTCAATATATTTCCATAGTACTTGCTATTTTTTGTCTACCGGAGCTTTCCAGAATTTTCTAGACTTCTAAATATTTACAGTACAGTATATGATATTGCATATATTTCAAGGCTTATGTGAAAAGCAAGTCAATTTAGAAATATTCATAAATAAGAAGCCCTGGCATTACTTTTCACGCTTTGCTAGCATCTGAAGCAAATGCTAGAAATATCACAAGATTAGATTAGATTAGATTAGATTATTCTTTATTGCCACGCAACAATAGTTGGTGGAATTTTCTGTCAGTACAGCAGAACCACACAGGAGACAGACATACAACATATACAGTACAAATTTAAATAGGACAGAAGACAGACAATGGTATCTTTGTAACGAACAGTTCTTTCTGGGCCCTATGCAGACGACACGATCCAGAATAGTGAAGACACAAGGGGAAAAATAGTCATGCAGGAAAAAGGTCTGGAGACGGGGGGCGTGTCCATGCAGTGCAGGTGTCCAGGGGAAGTGAGTCCAGGCGAACAAGGAAATCCAAAAGAGTAATCCGAGACAAAGGGTAGAGTCCAAGGCCAGGGGATCCATCCAGGGAGTTAAAACACGAACCGGGTCGGAACCGGCGAGGGGAACCAGGAACTAGGAACAGAAAGTTAAAAGCATAACGGAGCCAGACGCAGCAAGACCCTGGGCTCTCATGATGTGGAAATCAATGAGGAACCAGGAGTGAGGTCCGCGTCTGGCTTTTAAGGGGGAACGGGAATAGGAATCAGGTGCAAACAATGGGAGGGAACAAGGAAGGACTGGAGCTACCTTAAGAGGAGGGGTTAGCGATCATGACAATCTTTCTTCCACCTGTGTAACCTTGCTCTCTAAACCCACTAAATAAACTTCAGTTTATCCAGAATTATATAGCATTAAAGACCTCCTGGTCACATACAAGAAAAATATTTGATATCTTGCCCTGGATTCAGTTCTTGGGATGCTGTCTGTGCCGGATTTCCCATTAGTCACCGTAGACACAATGCCTAGGGCCCATGGAATTTGTAGGGCCTACGAAGGAGGGAAACCCCAGGGACTCACGAAAAACGAGCTGAAACAACATGCTTGCAATCGACTCTAGGTGCTCCAAATTAATAATCAAAAGCTATCTAGCGGCTTTTCTAGAAACAAGAAGTATCAAGGTGATGGTCGGTCTACTCGCTCCATCAATCATGTGGTTTAGCATTAGAAGAGTTTAAAGTGCATCACGTCAATCGGCATAATTCACTTCCTGTTTACCCCACTTTTTGCACATTTTGGAGTGAAAGTGCTAGGGCCTACGAACACCAAAACCCGGCCCTGGGTGCTGTCTGCGTGGAGTACGTACTGTATATTCTCCTTGTGTTCAAGTAGGTTTTCTCCAGATGCTGCAGTTTCCTCTCACAGCCTAAAGACATACTGGTAGGTTAATTGGCTTCTGAGAAAATTAGCTCAGGTGTATGTGCATACAGTGGCCATGTATGTATGGTGGTGTCCTGCAATGGACTTGCATCCCATCTAGGATGTATTCTACCTTGTGTCCATTTCTCACAGTGATAAGCTCCAGCTCCCCAATGACCCTGTATTGGATAGAACTTACTGTTTTGGCTTCATTTTATTTTAGGGAGTTGTTGTGTTAGTATAGTAAGCAGCTTTACATCTGAGATGCGATTATTTAGAGTTTCTAACTTTGTCAAAGACCGGCTCACACACAATTGCAATAGAGCATTTAATGTGCAGCACCAAAACACTGTGGAATTTACTCCCCAATTCCATTAATGTCGACAATTTCAAATGACTTAAAGACCCATAATTTTAGTAAAGCTTTTAATGCATCATTTAGTTTTGTTCTTGAGTTTACTGTGTGAATTTTTAAGGTGTTTTTTCATTTTGTTTCTGTTGTGTATTTCATATTTGCTATTGTACAGCACTTAAAGTGTCTTGAAATGTGCTCATTAATAGTACTGTATTAGTAGTAGTAGTTTTATAAAGTACACAAGTATTAGTGTCATGCTATCAAATAACTACTCCTACTGTAAAAATGTTGGTAGCAAAAAACAATAGTTTGCCAAATATGAGTAAGGAATATAAAATAAAAGTGAAACACAAAGCTTAAATGATTATAATTAAAACAAATCATAGTTGTTCTTTTCTTATGTAGCTACTTCAAGCCTCACAACGACTATTTCTTTTTCAATGTATTTTGTTCTGTTTCTTTGTTCTGTTCATCTTATAATTGAAGCTTGAATAAAGTTGTATACTGATTCAATACAATTTGAAAAGCTTTCTGAAGGGTTGCTATATTTTGTTCAATATTTTACTCTTCTATAGAAAAGACCTGAATTTGTAACTATATTTTTTGGAGATTACATCTGTATTTACTTTTCCTAGGATTATGCTGAGAAGGAAAAGACTATGGCAAAAGCTTTAGAAGACCTAAAGGCCAACTTCTATTGCGAACTGTGTGACAAGCAGTACTACAAACACCAGGAGTTCGACAATCACATTAATTCATATGATCATGCACACAAACAGGTAATGCCCCTTTATGATTTGTGAACCTTCTTTGACTACAAAATATTGTGTTTAGAGAATATTTTGATACAGAAAAGGAAGCTTTTTGCATCAGATACTTTGTTTTCGATATAAAATTATTTTATCAAAAAGTGTCAAAAACTTATCTCCTTGTTATACTTACTTTCTTACTTTTACTTACTTTAATTTACTTTCTTTTGGAGTCTGTATATATTCCTTAGGTGAAAAAAGCAATTAAGAAAACAAAAATGTCTATGATGTTTGTGTTTGCATACTGTATTCTTTGTATCAATATATTTGTGGTTGGACATTTGGAGGGATAAAAATAAGTTAATGTTCAAGTACTCCCATATCATTAATTCTGTGGATTGCATCTCCCAAAAAGAGGTGCATGGTTTCTTTATTAAAATTGTCTGCCTGGTGACTCTTCAGTGTAGAATCACTAATAAGTGAATGTATTGTTACCACACTAAATTACTGAAACACAGGTTGCTGTGTGCCAGAGAAAGATTTCTTCACTAGTTACTAGAAATACACGAACACCACTTATTGGTTACTTAGTACTGACAGATGCTGCAGATATGTTAAGTGCTACTTTGTTAGTTATCCAGAAAAATGCCTTTAGCTTAAATTTTTTATTTTGATAAACTCTTAGTCACATCAGTAATAATAGTGTTAGTTCTCATTACAATGCTAGATATTTGAAAAGTGTTAACGAAAAGTGTGAGGGACATACAGTAAGACTTTTTCCTACTGTTCTTTCTTCTCGTGTGAGACCTGATCATAAGTTACATAACAGTTCATTACAGAATCATTTTTTAATTTTTTAATTTCCTAATGTATGAGTAGTCTAAGAGTTGGAAACAAATTCACACTTCTTGATTCTTTTTCTTTTATGGGACTTTTATGAGACAAATATTCTGTTCTTTTGCGTACTTTGAAATTTTGCTCTCAGTTCCGTGTTCTTGGCTGAAACATGTTCCTCTTCATAGTTTTACTGGGAAATTTGTAAAAAGCCATTAAAATAATTATGAAAAGTTCAGTTAGTGAAAAGGATTAATATGACCACTGAGTTTTACAAAATTGAAGTTACATTTGTAATTATTTAATTTCCATAGTAAATTGTGTTAGTCTTAAAAGTTAAAAGTTACAGCCATTATGTGGGTTATAATTTATTAAATATTAATTCTCCATTACAATTTAATGAACTAAATGTCCTTTTCAATGTGGAATGCATTAAGCTTCATAATTAGATTTCGGAAACCATAATTAGAATTTGTACATAGTTATAAAAATGAAAAATAGGATATGCCAATGTAATACATTTATTATAGCAGAATACTTTTTCTACATTACTCTTTATATAATATACTGTATAATTTTGGATGAAACATAACAATATCGCGAATTATGCCAGTGGGTTCATTAAAAACATGTCAGCCAAATTGTCTACAAATTGTTTGCACATTTTGTTTATTTTAATAGTCAACATTGTGTTTTACGAGGAATAACAGAATACACTTTGGATATTATTCAGAAAAATTAACACTGTGTCTAAATCCCACTATTAAGATACTAACAGCGTTTTTAACCTTTTAACCTTATTTATAAAACCATTGTTAACGAGTGTCTAAATCTTACTACTGTATATAGTGAGCTATGATCACAGATGAGGAATTCAAATTAATATCACAGAAAGACAAAGAGACAAAACTCTCCACTCAACTGAAAAGTTTGAAGAAAAGACATAAATCATTTGAATAATGGAGAAAATATATTTACGCAAGTAGTAATGGCCATCTTCATATGATTTGGAAAATATAAGTGAAAAAGGGAATTAATATTATTTTTGTTCACTCGAGGGACAATCCTAATGTATTGTTCAAAACAACACAAGATGCTTTACAAATAAGTGAAGGTCATTTGACATGTCTTGCTTGTTTGGTTGCTAGAAACAAATTGATAACAAGGATTTCATCCACCCATTTTTTCAAAGAAATGATGGTATCAGCTTCTACAATATGGCTGGGTAACTTATTTTAGACATCAACAAAGCTTTATGTGTAGAGATGTTCTCAGTTTTTACATTATTTAAACATTATTTTGAACATGGATAATGCAGTATAATGTGTTGATCAAGATTACACACAATGTTCCAACTAGTGTATTTTACAATGTAAGTATAACATTCTTTGATTTAAATTATGCACTTTATAAAGTATATCCTAATATTCTGTTTATTTTACTGCTTCCCCACATTATCTGAAAAATATACAGTACAGTAAATAACATGAACAACTACTGTAAATATTGGTTGTATGTTGTGTTTTATTTTAAGTATCACATTTTATATTTGTACTGTAGGTTAATTATTTTTACCTGTACATAATACTCTGCATCTGTTAACTTACTGTATATCATCTGCCAACTGTGCCCAGTCTTTAATTTTATCTAAACATTTTCCAATTTCTATAATGTTTGTTAATCCTCCTAATTTACTATTATCTGCAGACCTAACCAGTGTAAACTATGCTTGAATCCACATCATTGATATGAATTGAATTCACTATGCCTGAATCCAAATCATAGATAAAGTATAAGTCAGGAAGTGGTCCTAACATGGATCCCTGTGGTAAGACAACAATTACATCACCCAACTTCAAAGCAATCACTTTTTATTTGTACTCTCTATTTCCTGCTCGTATCCAGTTCTTTACTATTTTATTAAAGCACCTTCTGAAGTCCAAACATATATCATATGCTTGGTTTGCATTGTTTACTGCTGTTACTTGTTCAAAAAACTGTAACAGGCAAGACCTGCTGTATATTTTCTGAACATGTTAAGTATTCCCTAGAATTCCATTTCCATACAGATAATCCTCTAATTATTTTTTTTATTTATTTCTAATTATTGATTCTACAGCCTTGCATGTGATAGAAGCAAGTCTTATAGGTTTATAATTACTAGATTAAGTTTTGTCACCCTTTGCATGGATGAACGCTACTTTAGGAATTTTCCAGTCAATAGGTATTAATGGCAATATTAAACACTGGTTCATCAATCATGTGAAAATGGAATTAAACATCATCAAACTTTCCCTTTGACAAACCTATAATAAAACAGCAAGCAGTAGAGTATGTGACAATTTCTAAAATGGTAAAAACTACTTTCGGTCATAATTTTTTAGGAATCACAGTGTATGTAAATGGGCATACAAAATCAAATAAACAGATCTGTAAAAAGCAATTTTAAACACATTTTTAATATTGACAATGCCCTTGTTCCCCTTCCGTACAGCAGAATTACAGCAGAAAGCTGACATTAAACCTTCAAAACTGGTCATGCTTCTCATCATAAATTCATAATATGTGACCATTGCTAATGATGTTATGAATAACTTTCAAGACAGATACACATTAACACAAAATGGACTCAGTGGGCATGAACAGTAACTCCTCTGAAACCTTTGCTTCATCTTTTTTGTTGACTTTCCTCTCCTCACCTTTGTTTCTGTACTGTATTTCCAATACTGTATAACCATTTCAGCAAAGATTACAGGTTACATATTCATAAATGTATTAAATAAAGTTATATTTCATTTTAAAACTTTTATACTTCTTATATATTTTTTCCAATTATTATTCAATTAGGAAAGATGGACAAGTGCCCTTTCTAGACCTCAACAGGAACATAATTTTAGCATTAGCCAACAGCTTCTATTTTCTGCAAGGCAGTTTCTCTCAGACAAGCACATTAAACTCTGATCTGTACAACCCACACAAAATCAGCAGTGTGTAAATGTTATCCAGAAGGGATCAAATCAGTTACCCCTGTGAGCCTATTGTAAGAACTGAAGCCAGTTAACATGACAAAATTATATCTGATGTGACCGGATGACTTCCTCAGCTATGAATCCAAATGACTATAAATGCAATCACTGAAGCTGCTTCAAATAAGAAAGGTTACAGCAGCACTGAACTATATATAACATCTGGTTGCCTGAGCAGAATGTTTAATGGTCATGAAATTCCCTTGGCTGCTTACAAATATAGCACAGGTGAAAACTTTTAAAACACTAGGCGATGCAAAGTGTAACTGGAACTGAGAGAGATTTTGTTCATTTTTCTTCACTCTATTCCTTGTTCCACTACTGAATAGTCAGAGGAGTCTTGAACAATCCTTTAATATGTGTCAATATACAGATTAGGAAGGCTTAGTAAAACAAGAATGACTGTAAGGAAGAATATTAACAAAATTGTCTTTAAAACCCACACTCCACCTCTGTGTACTTGGAACTATAAGATTCTGGGATAGTCTAGTACTGTATGGCAGGAATAACCGACAGTTTCAATATTCAAATTATTCTTCTTAATACATAGAAATAATATTTGTCCAGAACAGTATAACTATCCCAGATGTTTTAAATGTAAACACAGACCTCATGGTGAAAATATTCAATCATTATTGTTACACGAATTTGTGCTGCATGCTACAGCTTGAGCAATAATGATGAAAATTTAGAGTTGGAAAACATTTGTCAAGAAGAATGGAATTAAGACTATTTTAAGAGGATTCTCACGAGCACAAATATTCCAGAATGTGAAGATAAGGTATGTTTTTTCCAGCAAGACTGGGACAAACACATTTCATCCTGCATCCACAGTGACATACTGTACTGTACTGTTTAGCTCTACTGGAGCCTGGATTTAATTTTAGTTTGAGGCACATGGGTCTGTAGAGTTTGCATGTCAACCCCCTTTGTTTGCCTGGTTTTTGAGGTATTCTGATTACCTCTTACAGGCATGTAAGGCACTGTACAATATGTACATTACAGGTACAGTACAAGTAAAGAGATGCACATTATATTTGATTGGCTACACTCTATAGTTCCTTTTCTTGGGCGAGTCTCAAGGGGATTTCATGCCTGGGGAGAAGCAGGAAACATGAAACCAAATCGGCAAAATGGGCTAAATGGCTTCCTTCTATTTGTGTCCTCTATGGTGTTCTTATCCTCTCAGAAAATCACAATTTACTCTGATGCCAAATTTTACTGCACGTCACAACTGAAATACGTCATGGGCTGCAGTCTCTGGGCTGTTGCTAGTGAGTTACACTTTGAGCTGTTGCCTAGTTGTGATTATTAAATGGAACTTGACTAGTTGTTTTTTAAACTTGATTTTTAAAAATATTTCATGATTTTTGCTTGCTATGAAATACGAAATAACAGTTCTCAGTTTCCCAAATCGTTGTTTTTTCTTGTTTCTTTTTTAGGATTATTAGGTGTTTATTGAGAGGTTTTTTACAAGGTGCTAAGGCTATCTTTTCATAATTATAATTTCATCTCCCAGTACAGTTAAATGGCAGAGTCATAGTATTTTAGCTGTCCTTTGGTATTAATATTGTATTTATATTTTTTTGTAGATCATTATAAAACTGTTGCATTATTAGGGACCAATACATGTTTAAGGTTAAACGTTTTTATTCTTTGCTATAAAACTGCTTATTCAAGTTTCTGATATCCAGTGAGAAAAATCCAATGACACAGCAGTAGCCATTAATTGGTGGCATGCAGAGAAATGGTATGGGAAAAGGCATTGATTGATAGCCCTGTAGGAGCTGCACAACAGCAGACAAATCACATGGCTGTGATATCATGGGTCAAACTTAGTGCAGGATGGGGGTGGGGTGGAAGCTGCCAAGTGACTCAATTGTTAAGGGCACTCGTTTGGTTCTGTGATCCAGGCATCTGGTTTCAGGTTTTACCAAGTTTCATCAAGGGTAGGGATGAATTATTTGACCAGAGTCCTGTCAGCTCCAGCCCCACATTACCTCCTGTGACCTGCTGGATGCTTGCAAGATTGTGGTGCCATTAGCAAGGGATGCCCCTCTTCTCCAGCCAGTGTCAAGATGCCTGTGGGAGCCTGAGTGGTCTGTAACATCTTAATAATTGAATGTGGTCCAAATGTGGGCGAGTCTAAATTGTCTGCTTACACTTCTTATTTCACTCCACATGGGTCTGTGGGGCTTACAGCTGTAACCTGAGACATGAAAATACACATACAACATCAGAACACTGAGTGCAAATAGAATCACTGGCAACTTCAAGTAGCAGCATAAATGAATATACTTTTGTATTTGTGTAACCATTATCTTTATTGTTAAAGCACTTTGTGATCATTTTAGTATGATGTCGTCACACAGAATACTGTTATTATGTCCGTTATACCAGCATTCCTTTACAGGAAATAATGAGTAGAAATATTGTACCTGTCAAATAAATAGTAGAAATACTGGACCTGTAAGTTTTCACACAAATATAAATATTAATTGTTTCATTCAGAAGTACAGAAAGTAAGTTAAACAATTCCACAATGTGTTGATACATACAGTATGAAAATACATTATGTGATGTAGTAGCTCAGTATGTCTTAATGTGTCAAGGTTTTTTGATAGTTTTTGTGTATTAGATATGTGATGGTCCCAATAAATACTGAAATAAGAATTCAAATACCACATTTCCATGATAATGTAGCATATACTTTATTGTGCTGCTGTTGTGAAAGTATGTCAGATTGTTTTAATGAATTTTATAAAAAGCTGTACTCTGCAAAACCAGCACTGTGTTATGTCAGGATCCTTCCATACATGTGTCCTCTGTATCCATGAGGCTTCACACAAGACAAAAAAATACTGTTGGGGTTTCCACTGCTTTGTTTTATCTTTTAGATGTCTCGTGTAAAATAACAGAAAGTGGAAATGGTCACTAAAAGTAACTGTAGCTGTTGCCACGGTTACAGTTTGATATGTTGCATCATTTCAGCTATCTACAGTACATGATTAAACAGCTTTTGTGGGGACATCCTAGCATGCTTCTATAACTCTATGGTTTGTATACCATGCTGGTAAGGTGTAGAAAAATAATCCATGGAAACATGGTGTAATTCACACAAGTAATGTAGAGGGTACCACTTATGAACAACTTCTTTACAGATGACAGGGAAAAGACATATAATACCACTTTGAGATTCAAAACAGATAAGAAATAGAACTGGGAAGCCAAGTGTAAATGCTCATCTAATGGTATTATTTTAAATAAATTGGGCAATTTCATGCAATTGAGCAATCTCATTTGAAACTACTTTTCATTTATGTAGAAAATGGGTTTGATGAAGCATAACATTAGCATGTAAACACCTTTATTACCTTCTTTAATACTGAAGACATTCTAAATCGCAGCTGGTGTGTTTCTGAATGTCTCATAAAACTAGATAACTACCCTGAATAATGGATGGTTCTGAAAAAAGATTCTCTGTAAAGTGACTTTTAAAACACATTTTAAGGAAAATAAGCACACAAACTAACAATTCTTTATACATTTGGAGATCTAAAAAAATTATCTCTTTTTTTTCAACAGCGACTTAAAGAACTGAAACACAGAGAATTTGCCAGAAATGTTGCTTCTAAATCAAGAAAAGATGAAAAGAAGCAGGAAAAAGCTCTTAAACGTTTACATGAACTGGCAGAACAACGGAAAGAGGTTCAATGGTGGGTGCAGATCTTTTATGATGATTACTGAAAATACTTTAGAATTACTTTTTTTATAGAATAGAGACTTGTCTATGTGTAGTTTTTAAATAGGAAACTTTTTAGGTTAGTGTTTAGTTTTAGCAATATTAAATTTGTCTAATTTTAAGAAAGTAAAACTCGTGGTTTATGAATGTTTTGACATTTTCTTCTGGATGTTTCTGTTTTATGTTTACATTAAGCCTTTTTTGTCTGTATCTCAGTGCTCCAGGAAGTGGACCAATGTTTAAGTCGACTACTGTGGCTGTGGAAGATAGCTTTAAGGAAATGTACAATGGAACCCATTCATTTGGTGATGGGAAAACAGAACACATCAAAGTGATTCCTCCATGTGGTGCAGGAGAAGTTAAGGACGCACCCCCTGTCCAGCTTGCCTGCCAGAGTGAACAATTTGAAGGACCACATGACAGCACAACAAAGAAACAAGGCTATGGACAAAAAATTGGGTTTTCCTTTTCATTTCCAAAGAAAGTGTCTGTCAAACTTGAATCATCTGCAGCTGTCTTCTGTGAGAACGCTGAGGAAGGATCAATGAAACTAAGCTTTAGACAGAAAAACAGGGTAGTTCTGAGTGACTGCAATATAGCCGGTACTCCTACAGCAGTAAAAGGACAAAATAACAGGGAAGAAATTCACATCGCTGACAATCAACAGGAAAATTTCAGCGACAAAAGTGCCACTTCACAGGTCCAAAGGCCATATGATGTGTCTGTGACACCAAACAACACAGACCCCAATTCAAGTTTATGTACCTTTCTGATTTATCCCGAGGACACAGAAATCTCCTCTTCATCTGAATTGCCCACCTTTCCTGAAAATATAAGCAACAAAGAGATTGAACTTACAGAAACTTTGCCAGATTCAATTGAAAGCAGTGTCAGGGAATTTCAATCAGAAACTAGTGAACAGTTAGCAGAGAGATCAAAAATGGGCATAAACATTTCAGAAGAAAATGGGACTGGGGTTCTGAGTGTTTCACCGCTGAATGGTACTGAGATTCCTAGCTTAGAGCTGCATAGCTCAGAGTCCACTGAAAAAGTTACAAACCGCACAGATAAAAACCCATGTATATTTGTGAAGCCAAATAAACCTTTTTCCTCAGTCTTAAGTAAAGATGGGACAACTATACTTCAGTGGCCCTCAGAAATGTTGACTTTTACAAAAACAGAGCCCCCTTTATCCTACAGCTGTAATCCTCTTCATTTTGACTTTAAATCTTCAAGGTATAAAGCTGAATCAGAGAGTAACAAGGGAAAAGCAACTGAATCACATGCTGTTAAGCCAGCAGTAAAAGATCCCCTGACAGATGATAATTCTTGCGTTAACACAGCTCTTAGGGGTACAGAAAAGCTCTCACATTGTGATAAGCACAGCACAAAGCCTTCAGATGGCTGTGGCTACAATCCTATGCAAAAAGATATTGATTTTGCAAAGCAAAATATCAATTTTCAGGAGCCAGGTGAATCTTTGCAAATAAATAACAATCAGTCACATGAACGACACTCAAGCATAGATACTAGACAGAAAAAGCACAAACACTCTAGTAAGTGTTCAAAAAATTGGAAAAAAAGTTCAGACAAATCTTGGAAGCAGGACAGGCAAGACTACCAAACTTGCAAAAGGAGGAGAAGGAGGAAAGCAATGTATCATCTTAATGAAACACAAAAGGCAAGAAACAAAAATGACATTGATACAGAGAAATATAAGCATTTCCCCAAACAGGGAAAGTGTATAGACGGATTTAATGACCAATTTGGAAGTGACAGTTCAGCAGAAGTTGAGCCATTAGAAGAGTCAAAGCAATCACATCAAAATCAAGAGCAAAATGGCAGTGGCAGTAACAAAGCGATGGATACAGCAAGAATGAAGACGAAAGCAGCAGGTAGCATAAATAGCACAGCAGGCACTGAAACATTTTTTAATGAAAGCTGCACTGATCATGAAGTGGTACTCAGGAGCAGTGAAAAAAATCTATATAATCCATCAACAGAGCAGATGAACACAACGGGACGCTGCACATATTGCTGTGATATGGCTTGCAAAGAAAAACCATGCATTATCCATGGAAGGTCAGATGAAGTGCCTCTAAGATGTGGAGAAGAAAACAACAAACAACATACCCAATTCTTAAAAAGAAGACATGGGTGTCAAAATGAATTAGAAGAGCCATGTTTGAAACGAAGGTTGTGCATGACATGTACTTCGTTGGGTAAAAGTTCCTGTGCTCTAAACAGACCTGGTGTTTATAAACAGAGTAGGAGAAGGAAAAGAAGGAGAAAAATTCATGCAGGCAATCAGAGTGTATGTATGGAAAGTCTTTCTAGAAATTCTGCAATGGAAACAATTGAGTCTGAAAATGGATTGACAACTGTTTTTCCAGAGGTTAATGGAAGCTCTGAAAGTTCCTTCAATCTCTTAACTGATAATTTTGAAAACAATGTGATCCAAGAAGTGGTTATGTACACTGAGTGTGTTAGTAATTCCACACCCTCTCAGGTTGTAAGCTCTTCCAACAGCGATAGCACTTCACCCGAATCTTTGCTTGTGAAGCAAGCTGATCAAACAGAGAGCTCTAGTTTTGTAACTGAAAGAAAAAACACAAGTCCAAATTATAATCATAATGTAAGACCAGAAATAAGAAATGAGAAGAGTTCTGAAAAAACACGTTTTGAAAAGCAGTCCTGCAAAGAAGTGATGCAGTTTAGAGGACAAGATTTAGAAACCGTCGCTTGCAGCCATTCATGTCAGTTCAGGCCTAACAGCCACCATCAGAAATGTCATCAGACTTTTCAATGTCAAGATGCAAAAATCAACTATGAGAGTGTGAGGTCAGCACAGATGACTGGGTCTTTCCCAGGCTCTTGCCAAAGTTTACTGCTTTCTTCGGAGGACATGGAGAAACACAAAACCCTGCACGTCCAAGCCCACAGGCAGGTGTTCCATGCCCAGAGGTTTCCTGCCATGTTGAAACCAATCCTTGCAGCTCCCCCCCTTCCTGTGTCACCTCCTGTTCTACATCCTGTGCACCTGCCCCAGCCCATGTCCTCAGCCTCCATCACGATCCAGCACACCATCTTCCAGCATCACACTGCTGCCATGGCAGCGGCGACATGTTCCTTCCTCCAGCCCCAACCTCAGATCGTTCAACAGGTCTTTCCATTGCCTCGACCACCTCTGCCTCATTTGTCTTTAGGAGCAGAAATGTGCCCAGGTAGCCACCATCCCTTCATACCAGCTTCTCAGCTGCCAGTGGTGGCACCAGCTGCATTGCATCCAACCTCCCTGACCATCCACGCTTTACCACGCTCCGCAGTGTTTTCACCAATGCTTCCTTCACACCCGGCTGTCATTCCATTGCAATCTCTGTTCTAATATTAGATTTTAGAAATATTTGTCTACACCATTATTAGATTGTTTCAGGTTATTCAAAATGTATTTACATTTGTTTTCTTTTAAATTGATTTAATAGTTGCTATGCTATTTAGTATTACAGATTAATTCCAAGCCCTAAAGTATTAGTCACATTTAATGTGTTTTTGTTTTGCTGCAGTTAATGGAGGTAATACTAGGGCAACAAAAGAGAAAGATGTTTTAAAACGGTCTATAATTTTAAAAAATGTTTCTTTTGTAACCAGATTTCATTATGCACAATGACATTGTCATTTCTTTATATTTTTACTAATGAAGAACTAAAATGGAAATTGCAGGTGAATGAAGTGCAATGCAAATAGCAAGTAACAGACATGTTTCTATCATACATAGTGGTATGGTATTGTCCTACATTTCAGTGTTAAATTGTCATATTACAGTATTTGTAAATAAAAGTGAATTTTAGAATACTATGATTTTTGTCTTTATCTACAATAATATGTTTTTAGGGCAGAAAAATTCAATACTTTCCACCTGTGCACGGTTATTTTACAGGGTGTTTTCATTTGTATGTGGTTGTTAATTTTACTGTTTTCAAGTTCACAAAAACACGTAGTCATACACAATATATTGCCTTATTACATGGACACGTATTTTCATATTCTGTAAATGCATCTATCTGAAAACTTGCTTTTTAAACAATACAGTCACCTGGCAGCTTTTTATTTTGGAAATGTTAAAACAAAATGCCAAACTGCAGGATATTATCTGACAATATTTTAAGAATCAGATCTGCTCTGTTCCTGATCGTGTTGTTTGTGGAATGCTCAATGCAGTTATGCGCTTTATGCAATGATACTGCAATGTATTAGGCCTATATGCCAAAATATTAGTATTCTTGGTATGTTGCTTGCCCACTGATTGGCACCTCAGGGTGCTAATTCCATTGCTATATACAAGGAGGATATTTTTATAAAAACAGCATGAAGTGACCAAGTGGCTTTATAATATAAATCCTCAAAATAACACTGTACATTAATTACCAGCCCTGTTTATGGATTCATGACCGTGTACTTGATATAAAAGACTGAAAGACACTCAGCATTAATGTATGTATGTACTCAACTGAAATTGCTGTAATATGAAAATTTGTACATGTTGTACATCTGATGTATTTTTAATCTCCCTGTAAAATTTATTGTAAAATATGTTACTGTTTTTATTGTGTAGGGTACCTTGTATGTACTGAATATTTAGATAAAACAGAATAATTATGTTTTATACTTAAATTTATCAACATGATAATAAAAAAAATATATCAATGGATGTTGTCCTGAGTAAAACTAAAATAAATACCAGCATACACCTTCTAAGAGGCTTTGTAGAAGTCATCTCAGTTCATAAACACACAAATGCAAAAAAAGAGAATTGGAGAACACATTTACTGACTACTGGTATGGTATCATTTTGTATTAGAGGGCACAGAAAACGTTGAAAAGACAAAATGATGGCATTTGTGCTTTAATATTATGATACATCAGATAGTTGCAGGGCAACATAACAACAAAGATATTCAGGCAGGATAATTCATGCAAATAGTTGTTTGTTAAATCTTACATTCCTGGGCTTTGGGCCTGCCCTTGTACTCAAGGCAGCTTCACCCTCACAGCTTGATGTTTAATACACAGCAATCCATTAGCAATCCATTGGCAGGAGGCAAAATGCTGACATGGCCCTTAATTGGATCCAGGTAAAAAAATTACATGGAGGCTAGCAGGGAGTTTTATTCATATACACTGCACCTCTCATCATAATGTGTTTATTCATTAAATATTTCCAAGTTACTCATCTGGCAGTGTGATCATACAGTATATGTCAAAAATGAAAAGTGAACTGAATGTATGTACACATGCAGCCATTCAGAACACATGGTATTTCTTCCAAATATGTTACCTGTAATGCAGCACACTGCTTTAGTTATTCACTGGCCAAAGACAATCAATAGGTAGGATAGTGAAATGATTGCTTCATTTAATCTGTTTCTCTACTATGCATGTTTAAATCTTCTTAATATGGAATATAAATGTGGAATTATCCCTGATATCTCCCTGATATCTAATACTCCTCATTGCCACTGTCGGCTTAAATGATCATGAATGTAAGGTGAATATTTAATGTACTGTGATATATAAAATTACTAACAATGTCAATGTAAATATCATACTAACTATAATTTATAGTTATTAGTGTATTTAGGATTTGATTATAAAAATATACTGTATTAGACACTTTCAAGTAAAAAGAAAGTTAAATTTAATCATTTAAATACATTTAGCTGATCTAGGAGTCATTTTATTTACAATTGGTTTCAATTTACCTTCAAAGTAGAATCACAAAGAAAATAAAAATATATATAATAATTGTTATTAAAAATGTTGGAAAGTTACTTTGATGCATAAAATGTTTATGAAGAAAGTGGAATTCTGTTGTGTACTTTGTTGTTGTATTTAGCTACCACTACCATCTACTGTATGTACATTAGGTATACAGTATATTATAGCCAATTATGTAAAATATATTTTCATGATGAAAATTTAAAGTTAAATTGTTTCCTGATTATTTGTTGCTAAAATTTGCAAAAATATATAAAAAAATAAATATAAAAATATAGATCATCTCAATGTGGATGTAAACCTGAAAGAAGCATATTGCGTTCACAACAAGCTACAGTATAATGAGAAACAATTTTTATATAACTGAGTGATTTTGTAGTCGTAAAATAGCTTTAATTTCTATTTAAATTAATTTAATATTTAACATACAGTTTAAAATTAATAAAAGTCTAAAAAGTATACAACATAATGAAAAAGATAATGTAATAGTCTCAGAAGGCGCAGTATACTGGGATTTGAAACCAGGCATTTTCTGGCAACAGCCCAAATGCTTTCACAAACCACGTTAAACATGCACTGCGCCACCTGGTGGTTTTACAAAAGAGTACAGGAAGACAGAATATTTTACAAAAAAGTGCAGTGTGGTATGATGTGCTGAGGTGTGTGCACAGTGAATTGCTGCATTATCTGGCACACATTCTGAGTGGCTGGATCTGTATGTGCTTTAACTTTTTTTGCATGTTTCCTACTGTACATGTATCATCGCTTCACTTGATTGTTCATACTCTATCATCACAAAAACTAGGTAAATTTGTTAGTGTTGGATGTCACTTGAGACTATGAGTAGTCTCATATTCAGTCATAAATTTAGAAGTTCCAAATGTCCACAGCACATGTATTGCTTTCCAAACACAGAAGCATAAAATGAAGGATGCTGTGAAGAATTAGAATATTATACATGAATTATATTATAACAAGCATGACCTGAGAGATTACATATCAAATTTCTAATCATGTCCTTTTAAAATATGGCTGTGATATCAAGTTATTCATTTTTTTTAATCAAAATATGAAACATTTTGCAGATATTACCATTATTACATCATGCACATTTAATTATTTATTAAGGAACTACGGGAAACTACTGAATTGAACCCCAATATTTAATTGGCCCACCAGCCATATCACCCTGCAACTCACAACTGGTAACCCACTGAATCTAAGCAGGTGTGAGCCTAGTCAGTACCTGGATGGGAGACCTCCTGGGAAAAACTGAGGTTGCTGCTGGAAGAGGTGTTAGTGGGGCCAGCAGGGGGTGCTCACCCTGTGGTCCATGTGGATACTATACCTGTTTACACTATACTGTAAACAGGTATCGTCCTTCGGATGAGACGTAAAACCGAGGTCCTGACTCTCTGTGGTCATTAAAAATCCCAGGGCGTTTCTCGAAAAGAGTAGGGGTCTAACCCTGGCATCCTGGCCAAATTTCCCATTGTCCCTTACCAATCATGGCATCCTAATAATCCCCATCTATGAATTGGCTACATTACTCTGCTCTCTTCCCCACTGATATCTGATGTGTGGTGAGCGTTCTGGCGCACTATGGCTGCCGTCGCATCATCCAGGTGGATGCTGCACATTGGTGGTGGTGGAGGGGAGTCCCCATTACCTGTAAAGCGCTTTGAGTGGAGTGTCCAGAAAAGCGCTATATAAGTGTAAGCAATTATTATTATTTAATATTATTAATTGAATTTTAAATATTTTTTTATTTTTATTTTTGTAAACACCATAAAAAGGGAATTGATGTCTGAAAATATGTACTGTAATAAAAATAATGTTAAAGGAATGTACAATATGTCAAAACAGTAAGGTAAGAAACAATAACGTTTTATTCTTAATTTTCATCCAACATACCTTCTGAGAACATTATTATGCTTAAGCCCATTATGAAACTGTAGTATTTTGATAGAGTCATAACACTGATGTACACTGCTCATGCACCTCATGCGTACAGTCTTGGAAAATTATATTTTCAGTAGTTATTTAGACTGTCTTAATGAACCTTAACAAATACAACAGAATGACTGAAAATGTATACGTGGAAAACAAATAATGATTGGAGAGAGAGGGCAGAAAATACTAACAAACGTTTAACAGTTTAGTAAGGCATACAGTTCAGGTGTTCATAAACACCCTTTGGGATTGGACTAGGTTAAAACAAGAGGTTTTCTTTTTTCCTCAGCTACAAATAGTGGCCACTCTTGTCAGAAGTAAGCAGTTTTGCCTAATTAGTGATTCTGATTCTGACTAGATATCTATTTCATGTTTATGAAAATTCTTCCATTTTAACCTCATTCTAAAAAACTGAAGCCTTTCTCTGGGATCTTTGCTAACACATACAAATAAACAAAAACAAATAAAATAGCAGCTGTGACTACTGCAATATGATTCTGCAGAAAGCTTCCCAGGGGCTCAAACTCTAAGAATTTGTCCTTATTCCTGATTTGGATTGGAAAACATTATTATATAAGCCTTGAAAAAGTACTAAAACACATGTTTAAATAACACACTGTAGTATTTCTACATAAATAACCCTGAAATTGTACCAGTATTCAGTATGTTTAATTGCTGGAATTCCATATAGCAAATATAGTGAAATCATGAACTACAACTGATTTTACTTTGTTGTACCGCTGAATAAACCAAAGAATAAGCTGAATAAACCCAGTCACCCAGTTCTGTGCTGATTTTATGTATCCATAGTTTGGGTATTGTGTATTACACTTACTCTTTAATTACATACATGTTGTGGGAATAGATTCCACAATGATCTTTGAAAATGCTTTTTTATAATCATTGGAATGGAGCCTTCGGTGCAGCACCTATTTACATTTGTAAACTCTTCCATAATCACAGAGGTGGGAACACTGGAAGTTAGAATTTGTCTAAAAATTATAGGTCCCTTATTACCATTCACTGCTACCATTGGTATTCTAAGGTTCTACTTTTACTATTACTTTTCATTTTAGTAAGATTTAATAACCTGCAAATTTGCCTTGCCTCCATTATATCCAAATCTGTCAAATAAGAAAAGTCAAACATGATACAAGCCTTTAAATTGAAAACGTAAAACTTTGTAAGTCTGATACATATTACAGCCATGTTCAGTATAGCATTGCCTTTTACAAATAGGTGTAAAAGCCTTACTGACATTGACTGCTTTCCAGTTGACTGCCATTTATTTCATGAAAAAAAATCGTATGGGTCAGAGACTCTTAACATTCTTTTATTCTTCTCAATATCTTATGATATAGTTGAATTGCCATGCCACAGCTGTTCCACAGATTGGTTTTATGTCTGTGGTTTCAAGTTGTGTTCATAGTCCCCTTAGATTCCTTTATTGATTCAGCTGTCATTGAATTACAGATTGTATGACTGGTCTTTTGATGACTCCTGTCAAAAAATAGACTTGTGGGCCGATTGTATTTCCAGGCATTTTTGAAAAATGAGTTTCAGCAAACTTCTTAAAAGATAGTAATAGTAATAACTTTAACATTTAAAAACCATTCAAACAAAACAACATTACAAAATATTTCTAGACTTGGAGCATATTTATTCTGACAGTGGTGTTAGTCTGACATCTGGAGTGTGATTTCTATATTCTAAATATGCTAAAAAATGGTCTAAAGTAGAAATATAACGATGTATAAAATAATACAAAAATACTTGTTACAACTAATTTTAGTCATTTAAAGTATACCAGTACAGTTTTAACAATATAACACATTTTTAATGTTGGTGAAGCTGTTCTATTATTTTATAAAAGATTATATAAGACTGGTATTTAACTGAAAGCAATTTGGAAAATGAATAAGCGCAAAAG